ATATTCCGCGCTTTTCTGATACAGTTTTTATGACTTAATAAACATTTTAAAAAATGAAAAAAGAAGAAGAAAGAAAAAACATTAAAAACAGCCACAACCTTATCATTATCATCATCAACAACACCAGCACCAGCAACAACAACAACAACAACAAAAACAACAACACATTAACAACATTAACAACAACAAACGAACAAACAAAAAGATGATCAACAACAACAAAATAAGTATATGCATTTCAATATGATTTACGTATACAAATGATTAGGTAAGTTAGGGTTAAAAACGAGCTTTTAATTGAGCATTTCGTACAAAGACCGATATTATGCTCATAGAGCATAATGACAGACTCATATATGTCACGTAAATGAATCCAAATAAAACGATATAATCGCAAAGTATAGTCCGCCATTTTCTTTTCAAGACTTTACATCTTAAGGCCATGACTTATTCAAGCCAATGAAAATGGTCATTTCACCTTCATTGGAAACATAGGCATAAACTAGTAAATGAAATAAATGGAATATTAATGAATATAAAACATTTAATAATCATTATAAGTTACATTATTCATCAAAAGGGTTTTGTACTTTTACGCCATTCCCTTTATGAAGCTTATAAAGCGAAACATGTATTGATACTTACATTTTTGTTGTTTTGTTATCTATTTGTGCTATTATTCATCAAAGAAATAAAGTAATATATGTCAGATATTATCAAAGAAAAAAAATCTTAAATGCATTGACCTATGCCGTTGGAACAGGTATCTTTTATCGTCCCTTTCATAACATATCTTCATATAAATGAAAATAGTTATCTAAATACAACTTTATACACGAGATTCGAAGCAAGGAGTGGGACAGGGGAGTGGTCTGAAGCTGAATGCCATCTTCGTTTTCAATGCTTCTGTGGCGAGCACACCATGCGACTAGTTTGATCTAGCTTCTGAAAGAGTCACTGGCCAGCTGTATATTAATTGCGTTTAGAGATGAAACGGCGCTATTTCATGTTGTATGTAAAAATAAGTTTGTGGTAATATATATATGAGGCCACGAAGATAAGGTTGTGGTCACAAAATTAAATCTTTAGAGGACACTAATTAATTTTTTGACACAAGATGATATTCTAATCACACTTTCATGACGAACTACTTTTAAAGGATTTTCCATGTGGTACTCAATTTTATTTTTGCTGACAATTCTGAAAATGTCAGGCTGTTAAAAGAAAAAGCAAAACTGAAATTGATAAATAACTTAAATACCTTTAGAAAAAAAGAGAAGAAAATTCAAATTTACAATCACCAAATATCGTCTCTTTAATTATTTGTTTCCACATGCAAAACTTTTCTTCATGACATTTGGGCAAATTTAAGTATCCTACGATCAATAACTGCCGTACGTTTTATGAAAACTTGAAAAGCAATGACAGCCATCAGCCCGAAGAGTAAGTAAACAACGTAAGGCTTCCAAGTTTTCCAATTTCCTATCCAGTGTTTGAATGGTTACACATCTGTCTACACTTATTTATTGTCTGTTACAATCCTCAAATAAGTTTGCTTTCTTTTAAAAAAGGTGTATGACTAACAAATCCAAATGATATCCCTCTGAATCAAACTCAATTATTTTCCTCCAGTGAAATACACACCTTTCAAAATTGCGGCCGCTTACATTTAACAAAGCCAGGTCTAAAATAGATTCGCAGTAAGTAACAGAAATATGGATGGATGGTTGTACTACTAGAATTTTTTTTATTATTAAAACAAGCGATCATTCATATTTTTTTAATAAAATGAATAAATCACCGCCATTTAACGGTGATTGTCGAACTTATGTTTTCAACCCAAGACTTCTTGTATTTAATGAGAAATTCAACTATTTTAGGCTCTCAATAGGGAAAACAGATTTTAATATTAACGATAATATTCAGGAAATTTCCTTTTAACGTTAATTTTTTAAGCATAAAATAAAAAGAAAATTTGTTTGTTTGTTGTGTAAGTTGAAATTTTATTTTATCTCGTGAACTTTAAAAATAGTTTTTTTCACTCGTGGCTACGTTACTTGTGAGAATACTGTTTTAAAGCAAACTCGATGAAATAAATGTTTAATAATTTGTATTGGTCCTTTTGGATAATTGCCCTGATGTAATTTACTCTATATAGAAATATATAGAAATGTCCAGCTCCTAGATATCTGACATGTAGCATTGCATTGTCAACCTTTACAAAAGTTGTGTAAATGGTGTCACTCTGATGCCTTTGTAGGTCACAAGAGTTACAAATTAACTTTTTAAAGTGCAATCTTATACAATTTTCTTCTCATAAACTACAATGCCTAGAACATAGAAATTGGCATGTAGAATAACCTGAAAGTCCACTTCAAGAACCTCTACAAATGTTACGAAGATGGTTCCAGTTTAATGAATATGCAGGTCACAAGAGTTAAAAAATATATTATAAAAGGAATCTTTTAATTTTTTTTCAATGAAATGCCATGTCAAGAGCATCGAAATTTTCCACCTTATGGTGCTCTACAAAAGTTACATAACCTATATTCCTGAGATCGATATTGAACTTGCCATAGCAAAAGTAACAAAAAAATGTATATTTTATGTGACTGGTATAAAATATTGATCCACCCATTTAGACCAAATTATTTACTTTTGCCGGCTCGCCACGAACATTTTCTATTTAAGTGGTTATATTGTGGAGTAATATGGAGAATTATTATTATCATAAATTTTCAAATTTTTTGTCATTACATGCTGTACTCACTGTACTCAATCATATTATGGCGCACGCACACGCACGCACACGCACGCACACGCACACACGCACCATCGCACACGCACGCACATACACATATATTTATATTGTTTATACACACACTAAGAGAAGTATTAGATAATTTTGAAGATGAAATCTCTTTATTGATATTTTCATGGAAATAAAAGAGTATTTACTCCAATATTCACTTGGAAAGGCTGGTACATGTGGCTAAAAAAGTATAAGATTAAAGAAAGACAAGAAGATAATCACAAACAACAGGTACTTGCATAATATTCGATGTATACTTCACAAATCAAACTGTTTTCCAAAAATTATGCATGAAAACATATGCCTTTTTACCAGTGTCACCACGGGCCAAATTACCTAACCCATTCCCAGTGGCAAATAATGCCAAATATGCTTATTTTTTCCAAGTTAAAAAATAATCATAATTGAGTCAAAGTTCTCGTTATCAAAGCTCATTCCATTCCAATTCAATATGGAACCAGACTAAGATGTTCAAAAACACATTTCATTGTCAATTTTTATGTTTTTTTTGTGCTTTGAATGATATACAATTTGTTGGATTAACAACCTTGTACATGGTACTGAATATTTTTCCCAATCAAGATGCAAAATTTCTGTGCTAGGAAATTTTCCCCAAAATGTCTAGGAAAAGGCTTGAAACTGAAATTGTTTAGTTTTCATTTCTAATCTGCATACTGAAATAGTCCAAAACTTGTTCATATATAGTACAGCCTAAAATAAAAGAGTGTCAGTGCATGCTCACAGTTTATTAAAGTGTTTGTTAAGAACATACTTTAAATATTTCTGTCAATTGGCATTAAGATACTGCCTATGACAGTTTGTTTCCTTAGCTGAAAATGATCACTTACATGAAATATCATAGTATGGTGTTTTAAGGAGGTGCAAATAAATCCTTCAAGGCATTACAAGGAACTGCAAAATTTACAATACAGTTTTGTTGCCTTGAACAAGACCTCAATTCGATTCAAAATTTACAATACAGTTCATCCTTATGAACATTGTTTACATTTTGATTATTCAAGATTGAAACAAATGAAAATATTCAATAGCAAAGCACAGCTGTGAAGTGGTTGTTTCTCAACCAAATGATTTAAATATAAATAAAAATGTTTCCCTACCCTTTGATTGACCATTTTTCTGCTTAGTGTGCCTCAATTAATAAGATCTGCTTAATTGACAGGCTGTTTTTGAAGTTTGAAGGGATAATCTTTGAAACATTTAAATTGGTTATTAAACTCACAGTTATTTACTATAGCAGAAGTGCTGTGTCAAATAACCAAAATTCTATATTACTTAGTTTTTAAATTATCTCCGTTTATATTATGTCATGATACTTGTTCAGAGAGAGGATTAAAATATTGAAGGAATTTAATTAAAACTTCACACAGTGAAAGAGATTAGCATGAGGAGTGCATTGTACAAAAGCCATCATAAGTTTCAATGACATGGCCACATTCATATAATGTGATGCAAAAATATTGACCATTTGAGTGCTTTCTTGATTCTGATACAGAAAATTTAATATATTTATATCACAATTGATTATTTTTTCATAGCTTGGTCTCCCTTTATTATGTCATGTGTTAAAATAGTCGAGCTTGCAGCTTCCTCTGGCAGCTCTTATTTCACTTGTACTTGTCAAAAAAGGGCCAATAACGGTTTGTGATGGACTTACACGTACATGTAACCTAAATATTATATTTGAACATGTGTGTCATAGAATAATTGTATCAACTACTGTTCATTTACTGAACTGTGTACTTTATATTTATCAACTGGCAACACCCGTCACACATTGAATTATCTGCCCCCGAAATAGTAAAAAATGGTAATTTTGATCCTTCAAGTACGTCCCAACTGCAGTGCCTTCAGCACTTTGATTAAGTTATAAGATTAAAGTGTTGAGTAATAAATCTAAGAAATGGTTTATTAATTATAGATGTTAATAATAACCAAGTTTTCAGTGATAAATTTCAAGAAATAAGTTGTCTTATAGAATTAATAATTCTTCTGAAAAATATTATATAATTTATGATATAAAATATTAGTGATTTATACTGAAGGAATCTTTAAGCTTTTAGCCTTTTTTTTTATAAGTAGAAATGATCATATTATTTTGAAGAATATAACATTTTCATTCATAAGTCATTTCGTCATGTTTGAAAAATGTAGAAAAACAACATACTACCTATATAAGGCGATGTTTTTAGATTAACAACCCAATCTGGGAAACAGTTATTGCCAAATTCTGTTATTGGCTTTTGCCATTGATTCAATGCTGATCCAAGTTCTCTATGACTCTCATTGTCTTCCTTTCAATATAATTATGATAGATAAGTCTTATACTAGCTGTACCGAATTTCAAATTCATATAAATTTTATTACAGTATATAAAATCTATTGAATTAAATGAACTTGTCCCTATCTGATTAATAACAAATTTCATTTAAAGCAGATATATTGACATTATCAAACAGCAATTTATTAATCATACGTTTAAGAAGCTGATAGCGGGATAAAAGAAGCAATGTAAGAGTTATTTCAATGAAATTTAGTTTATCAAAACCGCGATTACAATCACTTACGCCCAAACAATCTCAGTATAATCAATAAGTCCCGAATGCTAAATTTTAAGAATGGTATAAAACATACTTTTGAAAATAGACCGTTCCCCAAGTCTGTTAGTGTTATTTATACAGTAGCATACAGTCAACATGTTTCGCTCGTTGCTACATAATTTAAACAACAAAAACAACAACAACAAAACAATTAAAATAAAACACTCGTTTTGACCATTTCATTTGGTTAATCTCATATTTCTTCATTAAATTGAACAATAAAGTTTTGAAATTACAAGTATTTAAGCAAAAATATTTCTGTAAAACCAATATGTAATGTTGACGTTTTGTCTCATTTTCAATTCAAGCAGTGTACCCAATTGAACATATACAAGCACATTACTAAAGAATATATTAACCCAAAAATTAAATCACATACCGTGTTACTACTTTCAGCAATTAACTTTGAAGCATAGCTTATATTTTCCGCCACCACTCCTATAAAAGGTCCGTATTGCGTCGCCATTTTTGAAAATCAATAATGGATCGGTTATTAGTTGTTAAGAAATATTGTAAAATGCATGCAGCAGTTTTGAAAAATTATTTTGATAAAAAAATAGGTCAATCACTTGTTAAATGGCTCGATTGTAATTTATAACCATCGCCTGTTGTATGAAAAGAAATAAATCTATGAAGTTTACACAGTTGTCAAAGTTGTAGATAATTCCCGTTTCTTTCTATTGATAAATAATAAAACACGTTTCAACTTAATCAATTCAGGTACTTGCTGCATAGAAATGTTAGGTGAATGGTACACGCAAAAAAAATACATTTTATGAAAAACGTTAATAGTGATAAACATTGAGGTAAGTATATATTGAAAGCGTCTGTTATTGTCACATTTTAGACAAACAGCTGATTGAAAATTACATAAAAGACATTATTTAAACTAAAAATGTTTCTAATATCACATTCTCTGATCTAATATCTTTATGATATCCTATTTAAGCATTTATACATTCTAATGACTGTCTGTCAAGTTACAAATACAAATGTGTCATTATAAAAATAACGCATGTCTCTCAGGGTAATAGTGCATAAAAGCACCCCGAGAACTAAAATAACACCCGAGGCTACCCGGGGGTTATTACAGTTCAAGGGCATTTTACCTGAGATACAATTGTTATTTTCGATAAATTCAAACGTGCCAGTCGGCTATGACCGAAGCTATCCGATTATGTGGTTCCCAAACTTAAAAGCGCTGCGCATTTTGCACACGGCAAAGCTTGGGCCACATAATCGGATAGCTTCGTTCATAGCCGACTGGTCCATTGAATTTATCGAAAGATTTTGTCAATGAAGAAAAACGGCGATAATCTTGATGTTTATTTCGGCTGTTGCGTTGTTTATATTACCGTTGAAGTTAAAAATTGACCATCATCGTGAAGAATTATATCTTCTGTGTCGATGGACCAAAGGATTATGTGAAAATATTGGAAATGGAATAAAATACATGGTGATTATGACGGTAGGGGTGCGGATTTTTTCCGGCGAACATTTTTATCTTGTGTATTATTATAGATGTTGAAATATGATTTTTTTTCAAAACGGCTTATATTAAGTTTTTTTTGATATATGTGATCAGTACATGTGCTGGGATTGACAAATATGCATTTTATTTGGATTTTAAAGGCGTTTTGAGCTCCAAACCGCAAGTGTCTGTGGATATTCATATCGAATTTATACCATATTACGTCATATTAGGCTATACAGTATACAGTTTACATGAGGTGTAATAATAAACAAATGTTTCCTCCTAGCAATGTATTTTTTTTTTCATTTTTAATTCTAAATTTACAGACAGTACTGTTTAATTCTATATCTCTTGGGTTTGAATGTCAATATGAAAGTCATTGCAGAGGTACAGTTGAAGTGACCGGATGAAATAATTACATGACAAATAACAACGAAAGTCACCTGCATCGTCCCGGAGTCAACCCCGGATCGCCTGATTCACAGAACAACGCTCTACCTACTGAAATTAGCTAAATCGACGGAAGTTAAAGGACAGTGCATTTATATTACATAGTTGTTAAAATGGTCTCCCTTTATAATACTTTATAATGCTTATCCAAAAAGTAAAGGGGATTTAAGGACAAGCTATTCAAGGTGTTTGATATAAAGTTCATGTACAGATATATTGTGTGAACTTTGCATGACTATAGAGAATTTATCTAGAAAAGGGTTGGGCCAATCTTTACCCCTATTGTGATGATTGATGTAACAATAGTAGAGGTCCAATTAGCAATAATACATGCCAAAATCTTAGCTATGTGCATTTTAATTTCACACGATGAAACTAAATTGTGGTTTACTATATCATTTTGTGATCCCCGGGGCGGGGAAAATGTTTGCTCAAGGAGAATGATTTGTATCAGGTTTGTGGAGGACTACACAGGCAATGCTACATGCCAAATTTCTAAACTCTGGGTATAGAATAAGATATTCTTGTCTTTTTCTAACATAAGTCTATATAAATCAAGTGACTTCCAGGGCGAGGCAAATATTACATTACATCTTTCTAAGCTCGGGGTCGCACTAATTCATTATGTATGAATTTCAAAATTCCGTGTCCGCTCTGTATGTTTTAAACCTATGGAAATAAATTAAAACTAGTAAATAGAAATTTTAATTCTTACTTATAATGAAACAATGTGCAGAACCTAGGTTTAATCTTCCTCAAACCAGAATAAAAATAAAAACATGAATGAGGATTAAAAGAATGCAATTCAATTTCACATGGAAATGATTTTAGCAAATTAGGGATGAAATAGTGTTAAAGATACCACTAAGGCTTAAAGGTTACTTGTGCTAAACTTTACTAGTCAATATTCGTGAAGAACACAGATGGTAATGATTTCCGATTGTCTTGAGAATTTCAGAATAAAGGTTGTTGGAAGTAATGATCGTGTAGTAAGCTACATTCTAGTTGACATATACAACTTCTTCAAAACAAAAAGCTAATCAAAAACTTTAAAATTGCAGCTTGAAGAGCGCGACAGAGCTAAAAATTACTGGCAACGTGGGGTCAAGCCGTTGTTTCCTTGAGCATATGTTTTTTACAGTCATTGCATAGCAGTGGATTGTTCTAGGAACGGTTTCGAGAGTCTGTTTATGATCACAATTGAACTTAAGTATATTTCTTTATAAGAATCTGGAAAAAGGGTGATCCGTCGGAAGCATAAAAGACAACAAAGTTACATGAAAACTGCATAATTACTCAGTGTGATTATTAAACAGTGCAACAATCCTTCACGCACCTCTAGCATCGGCTTGAGTGGTACCTAATTTTCAACACTTAATATGACGTTATCAATTAACTTAATGAGTATATTCGTGTTTCATTCAATTATCTGCAATACATACGGTATAAATACTTCTACACAGTAGAATAACGAAAGTACTGTAGCATGACTAACAAGCTAATACAATTGCATGTGCACCATGTCTTGCGACTACAAGCACTTGCTACTTCTCAGCACTGTACCTTTCTCGGGGGCCAGTATATTTAAACTCGTACCTTTCTAGCATAAACAGAAAGTTCACTCGTTTTAATAGTGATTTTTATCTACGTCAACAAATAAATTTGATAAACTTCATACATATATCATAATCAGAATTGATAATTGTAGTCAGTATATGTTATATAAACAATGCAAAATATCATCGATATCATAATATGATTTTTATATGATATGATATAAGATAAGATTTTCGATAAAATCACCATATACAATGTTTACAATGATATTTACAATATTATATTATTCATTTCATCTAAACACAAAATAATCAGAAAACTATAAAATAACTGAAAAATATTTCAAAATTAATACAACGTCAAACAATGTGTTGAACTTGTTGGTTTGATCCCGTGTGTTGCATGAAATTCTTCAATATAAGAGAATCTTTTGCTCATATGGAACATATTAAGTTCTTTCTTGACTGTACATGTTCATTGGTTGATTAATGATAATAATTATTTATTTCTGTCTCAAACACAATACAATGTACATGAAAGATTTGATTCATAGTTTAAACAAGATATATTTGGCAATAAGTCTATCATAAAATCATGCCTCCAATTGATATCTCTATCAAATACATGCCTTTACCTATTTCACTTGAAAATTCCGACATTATAGTAACCGCTTCATGGTCTCCACCTCTTCTTTCGAACCCAATATCTTTGAGAAGATGATTTTCATACGAGAGTTCTGCTTGAAGAAGGGATTCATTAGGAATTTTTCGGTACAGATCAAATCGAAGAGCATCCCTGTTTAAAGGATAATTGTGGAACATGCGGCCAATCTGAGAATTGGAGTAAAAGAAATGCGGTAAGTGCCTCTTCTCCAAGCTCGTACGCAAAAGATTGAGACATAACTCTAAAGCTCGTCTGACATCATCAATTCTTACACTCGGATAAAGATGGCATGTATACATGATCACATATAATGCTATCTGCTTCAGATGGTAGGATTTCAGCACCGTGACAATAGGCGGCGGTGGTCTGTTTTCACTTTTCGCTATCGACTTTGTTTTTGTAAAGTAGGTCTTCAGTATTCGCAGAGCAGTGAGTATGAAGATTTGTTTATGGTCGGTTCTAGCAACATCCAAGGTGTATCTTTCATAGCCAGCGGAATTGATATGCCAAACCAAAACTTGGTCTGCAATCTCTAATGATCTTGTAGCATCCTCCTCTTTCCATTTGCAGACAGCGTGTATCACAGCGTTAACAGGACGGCCATTATATGTGGTATGACTGTCTTCCCTTAAACGTATGGCAGGAACAATGTCCAAATCAATTTCCCGAACGATGTCAGAACGGTTTCTGATTTGGCCTTGATTCATAAACAAATCGTTTGCATCATCGTCAATATGTATCGTTATGTTCACAGCGGGAGGATTCATTTTTCTGGTAATATGAAAATTCCCTTTTCTGGAGCGTTGCATTGCTTCTATTTTCTCTTCAATAGCGCGGGAAGATTTGTCTATCAATGATTCAAACACTCCTTGATGAAGCTTACGAGAACTTAAATAGAAGGTGCCATCTCTTTCTTCAAATACACTTTCCCGCCAAAGCTTTGGAAATCGAGCCTGTAAATATTGACTGCTTCCGTCTACCTTGAGGTAACAAAATCCAGGGACATATTTTCTATTTTTGTAAATATGTTGCTCTGAAAGTTGTAACCCCTCGATGTGAAACTCCAAAACAGTATCATATTCATCCGGTTTGATTACTTTCAGACCGTCTCTTGAACTGCCTTGGCGAATGTAGGAATCAATACGTAGATATTCGTAGTCAGTTGAAGCTTTTACTTGCAACTCCTTCAACAGCAATTCCATGACAGCATCGACTGCATCACGAGAACGTGCCCATTCTTTTCTTCCGAAGTCTATTTCACCTGGAAGATAATGATGATGGTAATGATAATAATGAAACTATAAGCTTCATTTCGAAGAATATTGCTGCTTAAGTTGCTGTGTCAATGGCAACAGAACATCAATTACCTTTACGTTCTCATTCATTTGTTTTAATAATTTACCAAAATTTGTTATTTATCATACGCACACCCGTTGCTCTGCCCTATTGACCTTTCCTGTTTTTAGGTACCGTGTAGGTACCTTACTTGACCTGAGTTGCTGGATTTTGTTGGGGGCTGGGTTAAGAGATTTCGTCTTGTCGACCTAGGTTCTTATATTTCACTGATAAGGACTCAGAACAATTATAACAAATGAGTTTTATAACTAGAAATGTGTTATCTATAAAAAAAGAAAAAAAAAAAACACGGGACATTTGAACATTTTACAAACCTTCATTCTATTTTTCAAAACAATGTTAAAAGGGAATTTTAAATAAAAAACTTTACCAATAACGGGACGCTTTTTAGATTTACCCAAAACCCACTGTTTGGTCAAAAGCCATACTCGGTTTAAATTTGGTTTGCCATTGATTCAGTTTCTGAAACCAAGCATTTTCTAGCGCCCTCATAAACTCTCCTTAAAATTATTTTAAAAAAACTGGATAAATGTTTGTCCCTTGTAAGGGATTTTAAACACAACAAAAAAATTT